CACCCAGGGAGGTACTACTGTCCTGTGGTAGTAGGTTGGTAGACAACAACCACCCTGTGAGGTACTACAGTCCTGTGGTAGTAGGTTGGTAGACAACAACCACCCAGGGAGGTACTACTGTCCTGTGGTAGTAGGTTGGTAGACAACAACCCAGGGAGGTACTACTGTCCTGTGGTAGTAGGTTCGTAGACAACCACCCAGGGAGGTACTACCATCCTTTGGTAGTAGGTTGGTAGCCAACAACCACCCAGGGAGGTACTACTGTCCTGTGGTAGTAGATCGGTAGACAACCACCCAGGGAGATACTACTGTCCTGTGGTAGTAGGTTGGTAGACAACAACCACCCAGGGAGGTACTACTGTCCTGTGGTAGCAGGTTGATAGACAGCAACCACCCAGGGAGGTACTACTGTCCTGTGGTAGCAGGTTGATAGACTGCAACCACCCAGGGAGGTAATACTGCCCTGTGGTAGTAGGTTGGTAGACAGCAACCACCCAGGGAGGTACTACTGTCCTGTGGTAGTAGGTTGGTAGACAACAACCACCCTGGAAGGTACTACAGTCCTGTGGTAGTAGGTTGGTAGACAACAACCACCCAGGGAGGTACTACTGTCCTGTGGTAGTAGGTTGGTAGACAACAACCACCCAGGGAGGTACTACTGTTCTGTGGTAGTAGGCTGGTAGACAACAACCACCCAGGGAGGTACTACCATCCTGTGGTAGTAGGTTGGAAGACAGCAACCACCCAGGGAGGTACTACCATCCTGTGGTAGTAGGTTGGTAGACAACAATCACCCAGGGAGGAACTACCGTCCGGTGGTAGTAGGTTGGTAGACAACAACCACCCAGGGAGGTACTAGAGTCCTGTGGTAGTAGGTAGATAGACAACAACCACCCAGGGAGGTATTACCGTCCTGTGGTAGGATGGTAGACAACAACCACCCAGGGAGGTACTACCGTCCTGTGGTAGTAGGCTGGTAGACAACCACCTAGGAAGGTACTACCATTCTTTGGCAGTAGGTTCGTAGACAGCATCCTCCCAGGGAGGTACTACCATCCTGTGGTAGTAGGTTGGTAGACAGCAACCACCCAGGGAGGTACTACCATCCTGTGGTAGTAGGTTGGTAGACAGCAACCACCCAGGGAGGTACTACCATCCTGTGGTAGTAGGTTGGTAGTTAACGAGTTCTTCAGACAAGAAACTTAATAAATCATCAACAGGAACTTTCGTAAACAAGGAAGTAACATCAAAACTAACCATGTTAAAATCATTTAAGTCAGTCAAGGAGCTTAATTTATCAACCAAGTCTATGTTGTTTTTAACATTAAAGTTAGAAATTTTGCCAACAATAGGGCTCAAAATATCAACAAGCCATTTGGATAATTTATATGAAACTGACCCTATGGAGCTAATAATTGGTCTGACTGGATTCCCTGGTTTGTGTGTTTTTATTAGTCCATACATGTAAGGTAAAGATGGATTAGTGGAAGTAAATTGTTTGACTAATTCATCTTTGCCTTTCAGTAGAAGTTTTATTGTTTTATTGAAATTGCTGTTAACGGTTTCTAGGGGATTTTTCCTAAGTTTAGAATAGGTTTCAGTATCATCTAAGAGATTATTCATTTTTTCTTGGTAATAATTTTCTTTCATAATTACTAGTCCAGAGTTCATAGATGAGGAAATATCCAAAATTTATGAAATAGGTAATGATTTAAAATACCCAAGAAATGTAATTGATAAATCTTTTAAAGTTGCTAGAAATACTTTTTACAATCCAAAAAGGGACAACCAGCCTTATTCAACTAAAAATATGTTGGTTCTCCCTTACCATGAAAACTTGGTTGATATGCCTTCTCTTCTTAAGACTTTTAATATTAAAGTTGCATTTAAAAATCTTGATACAGTAAAAAAACTTTTGATAAAGAATTCCCCCGAAAATGCTGATGGATGTGTCTATAAGATTCCTTGTAAAATTTGCGATAAAGTTTATTACGGTCAAACTGGTAAAAATCTCGAACTAAGATTAAAACAACATAAATATAGCATTAGAACTGGACAAGATTCCAATGCTCTATTTGTTCTTATGAGAGATTTTAACCATCCAATTGATTTTCAAAAAGTTGAGAAAGTAGTATCAAGCAAGTCCATGGTCGACAGGAATATAATTGAATCTTGTTTCATAAAAAGCAGTTTTGACAATAATATGAATATTTCCTTTGGTTTATATAAATTAGATCCATTTATAATTAATAAAATTTGGGAAGAATTTTATAATACACTGGACAAATAATAATTTTTAAAATTTTCTTGGGTAGAATAGTTTGTTGGTGGGTTGTGCAAAGGACCTGTCAAGTTGGGCCGGCGCGCGTCAGGTGTTTAACCGTTGTGGGATCTGATAGTGAGGTGCTGGCCAGACCCCTTATATAGCTTCCTTGGATGCTTTACTTTCATAGTTCCTTGATAATGTGAGTAGTCACGAAAGCGCTTGGAATTTCTCTATTCTTTCAGAGTGGTTGTTTTGCATATATATATATATATATATATATATATATATATATATATATATATATATATATTATATATATATATATATATATATATATAAAGCTCACACACTCATTTGGTTTTCTTCTATTTTCTTAATAGTTCTTATTCTTTATTTTCTCTTATCTCCTGGGAGAATTAGAAAAGAACTCTTCCTCCGTAAGCCATGTTTTCATAAAAGTTGACTAAAATACCGGGAGCAAGGGGCTAGTAACCCCTTTCTAATAAATACCAATTTTAAAGCCAAATCGAAGGGGTATTCTTTAGGTACCCCAAAGATATCCGTGTCCCAAAATCTGCTAGCACATTAAGCCCGAATCATGAAAACCAGTATTTAAATTCAGATTATTTCATAAATGCAAATTAGGACGTACGTAAACCAAATCAGTCCAAATATTCTTCTATGTAAGATTCCCCAGATTTTATGTTTCAAAAATAATAAAAAAATTGAATTTAATAATAATAATAATAATAATAATAATAATAATAATAATAATAATAATAGTAATAATAATAATAATAATAATAATAATAATAATAATAATAATAATAATAATAATAATAATAGTAATAATAATAATAATAATAATAATAATAATAATAATAATAATAATAGTAATAATAATAATAATAATAATAATAATAATAATAATACTCTTTATTTCTTTACGGTTACATAATATAATTGATGCAGGAATAGTTGATTTTTTCGACATTATAGGAAATTCCTGGTTATGTGAAGTATTTAGAAGAAATGGTTATATCTATGACTAAAATTTTTCTAAGGGTGGACCAGTAAGCCAGTGGAAGGCCTCGGTCAGGTGACCAAAAGGTCCAACGGCGGGTCATCATCTGAGTCCCACTTCAGGAAACACTTGTCCTGTTTCCTGACAAACCTAACCTAATCTAATCTAACCTAATCTAATCTAATCTAACCTAACCTAACCTAACCTAACCTAACCTAACCTAACCTAACCTAACCTAACCTAATCTAACCTAACCTAATCTAACCTAACCTAGTCTAATCTAACCTAACCAAATCTAATCTAATCTAATCTAAGCTAAGCTAATCTAATCTAACCTAACCTAACCTAACGTAACCTAACCTAACCTAGTCTAGCCTAATCTAACCTAACCTAACAAACCTTACCTAACCTAACCTAACCTAACCTAACCAAGTCTAATCTAACCTAACCTAATCTAATCTAATCTAATCTAAGCTAATCTAATCTAACCTAACCAAACCTAACCTAACCTAATCTAATCTAACCTAATCTAACCTAACCTAACCTTACCTAATATAACCTAACCTAACCTAACCTTACCTAAAGTATTTATGGCAACCTTAAGATTTCATAAATACAGACATTTGTAAGGTTAAGTTAGTTTAATTGAATGTTAATGTTTATAATCCCTGACATAATTAGTCTATATAGAATTTACATCAGATGAAGATAGTCAATTGTTTATACATAATGGAGAGCAATCAATAAACATTCATAATTGTAGGCTTCCCTAAGACAGTTGGCCCCCACTTATACGGCAGGTTAGGTTCCAGGGTGTTCCACTTTACGGCTATTTCCGCCGTAAAGTGGAACACCCCTTTTTTTTATTAATGTATACAAATGCTAGATAACAAGTTTACACTAACATATTTTAGCAATTGAACTAGCCTGGTTGATCAGGCTTTGATCCACCAGGAGGCCTGGTTACAGACCGGGCCGCTGGGGCGTTGACCCCCGGAACTCTCTCCAGGTAAACTCCAGGTAAGCATTAAAAAACAATAAAAAGAAGTAGAATACACATATAGTACACTCATTACTTACCTTAAAATATTTGTAGTCTTAATGTAGGGTGAGAGGTGAGTAAAGGAGATAAAACGAATTAAAGAGAGAGAGAGAGAGAGAGAGAGAATGAGTAAATAAGAGAGGACAGAGATGTGGAGAATATAAACAGATGTACACGTCTGGTTTTGGCTCATACAGGTTTGTATTATACCATAATACAAACACTCTACATTGTGTACAAGTTGTACACTTATAACGATAAATATTTCCAGAGTACACACTGTATTGGCTCCAGTGAGACATATAAATTATATAATATGCAAATAATTAATTAATGCATCGTACTTTGTATTTAGTTTAATTCTATTAACATGTAAAACTTATCTGAGAAAGTTAGAACCTAGAACTTGTTTAGAGGTAAAGAACGAAAGGTATAATAGTGACTGGAACAATACGCAAATAACCCGTACATAAGAAAGAGGAGCTTACGACGACTTTTCGGTCCGTTTTGGACCATTTACAAAGATTTTAGGTCTTGTGTACTATTCCAGTTGTGGTCAGTAGGTAAACCAACGTAATGTTCACTCACAGAATGTGAGGCTGCCTAATCAATCTAAAAACAAATCTAGCTCCTAGTAGGATAAATAACTAATTTGACATGTTTCTAAGGATGTTCCGGATCGCTGATGATGACGGAAGTCATACTCTGAACCAAGAGGAACTAGGCGAGGCCATTCACAACTTCGGACTGCACTTGGATGATGAGGAAGTGGGTGAGATCTTCTCCACCATGGATGAGGACGGTACTGGAACCATCAACTATGAAGAGTTCCTCGATAAACTTAGGGTAATGTGCTTACTTTAATATAGAAGTAATGCAATTGGTTTATAACCCAGAGTTCCGGGATCCGGAGCTTATCTTCTTGATTTGCCGTTACTCTCCCGGCCCGGGTCTTTTCCATATGGTGACCCGGCCTTGGCTCCCTCTCTTGGGAGTGTCTGAGACCTGTTTGCCATGGGAGGAGGTACAAGTACCTCCTCATCTTCTGGGACCAACTGTCCCCAGGCCTAATCCCATTTCCCGTCCTCACAGGGCTCGTAGGGAGAAGCTAGGCCTCTGGTCTGTCATCTTCCCCAAGGGGGCTCGTGGGAGTGACAGTATCGTGAACTGCAGGTGATAACAAGTTGTGTATTAGGTGAGTGTTGTGCACTGCGTCCAGGGGTGTTGTGCACTGCGTCCAGGGGTGCTGTGCACTGCGTCCAGGGGTGTTGTACACTGCGTCCAGGGGTGTTGTGCACTGCGTCCAGGGGTGTTGTGCACTGCGTCCACGGAACGATGCAACGTGTTGACAAGTATCCTTAAACTTACTATCGTTATTCAAATAGCAGTAAATTAATCCACTGCCGAGGGTGACATCCAGTGTTGGATGCGACGTATGGATGAGTCTCAGTACACTTGTCCTTAGGGTGAGTTGGCTGTTGTGGGTGACATCCTGGGCAGGGTGAGGCGCATAGAGAAATCTCCTGCTGAGGATTGCATCTTGGGGAAGGGGAGATGAATGGGTAGATCTCCATATACCCTCTACCCGCCCCTGTTCACCTAGCAGTAAATAGGTATCTGGGTGTTAGTTGACTGTTGTACCTGGAGTTTACCTGGAGAGAATTCCGGGGGTCAACGCCCCCGCGGCCCGGCTTGTGATCAGGCCTCATGGTAGATCAGAGCCTGATCAACCAGGCTGTTACTGCTGGCTGCACGCAATCCTGGTCAGGAACCGACTTTAGGTGCTTGTCCAATGCCTGCTTGAAGACTGCCAGAGGTCTGTTGGTAATCACCCTTATGTATGCTGGGAGGCAGTTGAACAGTCTCGGGCCCCTGACACTTATTGTATGGTCTCTTAACGTGCTAGTGACACCCGTGCTTTTCATTTGGGGGATGTTGCATCGTCTGCCAAGTCTTTTGCTTTCGTAGTGAGTGATTTTCGTGTGCAAGTTCGGTACTAGTCCCTCTAGGATTTTACAGGTGTATATAATCATGTATCTCTTCCGCCTGCGTTCCAGGGAATACAGGTTCAGGAACCTCAAGCTCCGTGAAGGTTCTCTGTCAGCAATTTCACCTGCCTTGAATACATGTAAGTCCCCTTACAAGTTTTTTCCCTGTTCATTTTTATAGAGCTATATGACCCTTGTGGGTTTAGCGCTTAACTTGATAAAAAAATTTCCCTGTTTATCATGCGATAATTAGGTACCTGGGTGTTAGTCGAATTATGTGGATAGAATTCTTGCCAGAGTGAAACGTGTGGACAAGTTTCCGTCCACCTACTGTCTCTCTTCACCTAGCAGTAAATAGGTACTAGGGTGTTAAGTGTCTGCTAGGGTGGCATTCTGGGTAGGATGTGAATGAACAAGCCTTCATACACCTACTGCCCCTGCTCACCTCAAAGAAAATAGGCACCAGGGTGTTAGGGGAATGTTGAGGGTGGAATCCCGGAAAGAGTAAGGCGTAGGAGCAGGTCTTTTTGCACCTTATGTCCATCTTCTCCCAGCAGTAAATAGGTAGCGGGGTGTTAGCTGAATATTATGAAGGGTGTCCTGAGCAGGGTGAGACGTATGAACAAATCTCCCAATACCTGTTGGCCCTATTTACCTAGCAGTAAATAGGTACCTGGGTGCTAGTTGACTCTTGAAGGTTGCATCCTGGGCAGTGTTACTTATGAACATGTCTTCTTGCACACACACTGTTCAGGATGAAATATATGGGCAAAATTAATTGTACCTGCTTTCCCTGTTCACCTAGCAGGAAATAGGTACATGGATATTAGTCGTCTATTGTGGGTGGCATCCTAGGCAGAGTTTCCTTACACCTACTTCCCTATACAGATGTTAGTTCACAGATGTGAGATGCATCCTGGACAGAGCGAGACGTAGGAGAAATGTTTCTTACACCTGCTTCCATTCTTCACGTTGCAGTAAATAGGTACCTAGGTATTAGCCGACTGTTCTGTTACCATCATAGGCAAGGTGAGACGAAACAAGTGTTTCCTGACGCTGGACATAGTCATATAATTACCCGCCATTGGAGCTTATGGTCATCTGACCGAGGCCTTCCGCTGGCTCACCTGTCCACCATTCTTCTTATGGCGATAAATGGTATAAAATATTTATACAATGGAAAAATAGATGTATCAATAAAGAAACGCATTACACTGCATTTGTGTCTAAGTTTCCAAGGTGAGAAATATGGATAAGTCTCCCTTTTATCCCTGTTTATCACGCATTAGTTACTTGGATGTTAGTCGATTGCTGTGGATGGCATCCTGGGCAGGCTGAGATGTATGCGTTAGTCTCTTATACACGTGATGTCCTTTACGTAGCTGTAAATAGGTACTGTTGTGGGTGGCATACTGAGTATTGTAAGATGTATCAGCAAGTCTCTACATCTGAGGTCTTTGTTCGTGTTGAGGTAAATAGGTACCTGGGGTTTAGTCAGCAATTGTAGGTGGCATCCCGTGCAGAGTGAGACTAATTAGCAAGTGTCCTCACACCTGATCTTATTCATGTAGCAGTAAATAGGTACTTAACTGCTAGGCAATGGTTTTGGGTGGCATCCTGTAGTGCGTGAGACATTGGTTCAAAATTTCCTTACATCTGCTTTCCCTGATCACAAAGCAGAAAGCAGGTGGCATCCTGGGCATTGTGAGTCATATGGGCAGATGTCATTACATCTGCTGTACCATTTCATATTAAGAACGTGTTAGTTGACTGTTGTTGGTGGCATCCTAGGCACGGTGAGACCAATGTGTACGTCTTCCTTCACCTACTGCCCCTGTTTACCTAGCAATAAACAAGAAAGTGGATAAATATACAGGAATGAACATGGACTCTATAGTCCTGACTGGTAGCAGCAGGTTCAGTGCTGCACCACTGAACCACGAGGCTTCTGAGACATGTTAGAGGTCACTGGCTGTGACCCAAGTGACCTTCCCACAGACCCAGAATAGTACATCTATTCTCATACCCTCCAGTACTTTTCAGTGACCTTCGATACAGAAATACCATGGAAGTGTTGTCTGTAAAGCATTCCTATTGCAAGCCTCTTAGCTCAGTGGTACAGCGCTGGACCTGCTATTTGTCAGGACCATGGTTCGACTCCCGATCCATTATTCAGTTTATTCATTGACAGTCGTTCATTACGACTTTCCTTGAGTTCAGGTACCTAGAATTTTGCTAACAGGTGAGAGTGGTATTCAGTGGATGGTAAGGCATATAGGCAACATTCCTTGCTCATACTGTATACCTTGCAGGAAATAGGTGGCATCCTGGGGGGGTGAGACTTATAAGCAAATCTCTCACGAGCCACCCCTATTCACTTAGCAGTAAATAGGTGCATGAGTGTTAATCGTCGGCAGCAGGTGGCATCCTGAACAAGGCGATACGGCTGGACAAATCTTACATCCGCTGCACCTGTTCACTAAGCATTATTAGGTACTTAGGTGATATGATAAATGGTTTAAAACCGACAAGTTGAAGATTGAGACACATATCCAACATATGGGAATCTTTATTAAGGAAACGTTTCGCCACACAGTGACTTCATCAGTCCAATACAAATCAGGAAGGTGTAAAGAGAGGAGGACTTTGAGATCAGACACTGCGTCATCATGGGATCTTGATACAAAGAATTCTTTAACACTTGTCCAACGTTTGGACGAAGACCAACTTCGACTAGTGGATGGTACTACTATGACCCCGCCTCCTCCTGCTTCACCTCACCTGACTACTTCATGGTACTACTATGACCCCGCCTCCTCCTGCTTCACCTCACCTGACTACTTCGACTAGTGGATGGTACCACTATGACCCCGCCTCCGCCTGCTTCACTTCACCTGACTACTTCGACTAGTGGATGGTACCACTATGACCCCGCCTCCTCCTGCTTCACCTCACCTGACTACTTCGACTAGCGGATGGTACTACTATGACCCCACCTCCTCCTGCTTCACCTCACCTGAATACTTCGACTAGTGGATGGTACCACTATGACCCCACCTCCTCCTGCTTCACCTCACCTGACTACTTCGACTAGTGGATGGTACTACTATGACCCCGCCTCCTCCTGCTTCACCTCACCTGACTACTTCGACTAGTGGATGGTACCACTATGACCCCACCTCCTCCTGCTTCACCTCACCTGAATACTTCGACTAGTGGATGGTGCTACTATGACTCCGCCTCCTCCTGCTTCACCTCACCTGACTACTTCGACTAGTGGATGGTACCACTATGACCCCGCCTCATCCTGCTTCACCTCACCTGACTACTTCGACTAGTGGATGGTACCACTATGACCCCACCTCCTCCTGCTTCACCTCACCTGAATACTTCGACTAGTGGATGGTACCACTATGACCCCGCCTCATCCTGCTTCACCTCACCTGACTACTTCGACAAGTGAATGGTACCACTATGACTCTGCCTCCTTCTGCTTCACCTCACCTGAATACTTCGACTAGTTGATAGTACCACTATGACCCCGCCTCATCCTGCTTCACCTCACCTGACTACTTCGACAAGTGAATGGTACCACTATGACTCCGCCTCCTCCTGCTTCACCTCACCTGACTACTTCGACTAGTGGATGGTACCACTATGACCCCGCCTCCGCCTGCTTCACCTCACCTGACTATTTCGACTAGTGGATGGTACCACTATGACCCCGCCTCCTCCTGCTTCACCTCACCTGACTACTTCGACTAGTGGATGGTACCACTATGACCCCGCCTCCGCCTGCTTCACCTCACCTGACTATTTCGACTAGTGGATGGTACCACTATGACCCCACCTCCTCCTGCTTCACCTCACCTCACTACTTCGACTAGTGGATGGTACCACTATGACCCCGCCTCCTCCTGCTTCACCTCACCTCACTACTTCGACTAGTGGATGGTACCACTATGACCCCGCCTCCGCCTGCTTCACCTCACCTCACTACAGTATATAAGCCACGTCTACGGCCCTATGCTCTACATTCTACAAGATTGATGGACTGAACACATCGACTCCAGGTTGAGGGACTGATTACCTCAAACTCCTCCTCTCCTTACACATTTCAGATTTTTATTGGACTGATGAAGCCACTGTGTGGCGAAACGTTTCTTCAGTAAAGATTCCAATATGTTGCATAAGTGTCTCAAACTTCAACTTAGTTGAAGGGTAACATCCCGGACCAGGTGAGATAATAGGCAATTCTCCATCCACGTCTTTAATAATTTATCTTATTTTTTGATAAATTTCCAGTGATTCTACACTGTTTATTTCCCAAATCATTCCAGTGGTCGCCCACCTTGTTTACAAAAGAATGTAAGAAAGAAGGAGCACTGCAGCAGGCCTACTGGCCCATGCAAGGCAAGTCCAGTGGTAGTAGTAGTAGTAGTAGTAGTAGTAGTAACAAAAATAATACAATATGGAAGAGCAAACACTGAGTGAACACTGAAACAAGCTGCCTCTTTCCAGTCTATATTTGTCCAACCTATTTTTATGTTACCCAAGTAATAGCTTTTATATCCTTTTACTCATGTACGAATTAATTGCTCTTCCATATTGTATTATTTTTGTTACTACTACTACTACTACTACCACTACTACTACTACTACTACTACTACTACTACTACTACTACTACTACTACTACCACTACTACTACTACTACCACTAGTGAAAATCGAAATGTTACCTCACTAGTATTGCACCTCACTCTGAGCCTTTATATACCCTCTGTGTCCATGTATTGTTTGTAATGGCTTGATAAAGCTCCTGGAGAGCGAAACGTTGCCACAATAAATGTCACATTAGTTGCACTTGTGTCCTTTTACTTTACATATTGTCGGTAATTCTACCAACTTTATTACAAGGCAAGTCCAGTTCTCCTACCGGTTTAAGCTAATGCCTTGACCTTGTCAGGTCAGCCACATTTCGATGATAATCGTTCCAGTGTTCCTTCAGTTCCATTTTTCCTCAGTTCATATTTACTGCAGTTGGTAAGTTATCATATTCATCAATTTTCTAATGTCCCTTCACACCCTTGTACGTGGCTATCATGTCCCTTCGCTCCCTTGTACGTGGTTATCATGCCCCTTCACACCCTTCACGAGGTAATCATGTCCCTTCACAACCTTGTACGTGGCTATCATGTCCCTTCACAACCTTGTACGTGGTTATCATGTCCCTTCACAACCTTGTACGAGGTAATCATGTCCCTTCACAACCTTGTACGTGGTTATCATGTCCCTTCACAACCCTGTACGAGGTTATCATGTCCCTTCACACCCTTTACGAGGTTATCATGTCCCTTCACAACCTTGTACGTGGCTATCATGTCCCTTCACAACCTTGTACGTGGCTACCATGTCCCTTCACAGCCTTGTACGAGGTTATCATGTCCCTTCACAACCTTGTACGTGGTTATCATGTCCCTTCACAACCCTGTACGAGGTTATCATGTCCCTTCACAACCTTGAACGTGGCTATCATGTCCCTTCACAACCTTGTACGTGGCTATCATGTCCCTTCACAACCTTGTACGTGGTTATCATGTATCTTCACAACCTTGTACGAGGTTATCATGTCCCTTCACAACTTTGTACGAGGTTATCATGTCCCTTCACAACCTTGTACGAGGTTATCATGTCCCTTCACAACCTTGTACTTGGCTATCATGTCTCTTCACAACCTTGTACGTGGCTATCATGTACCTTCACAACCTTGTACGTGGCTATCATATCCCTTCACAACCTTGTACGTGGCTATCATGTCCCTTCACAACCTTGTACGTGGCTATCATGTCCCTTCACAGCCTTGTACGTGGTTATCATGTCCCTTCACAACCTTGTACGTGGTTATCATGTCCCTTCACAACCCTTTACGAGGTTATCATGTCCCTTCACAACCTTGTACCTGGCTATCATGTCCCTTCACAACCTTGTACGTGGCTATCATGTCCCTTCACAACCTTGTACGTGGTTATCATGTATCTTCACAACCTTGTACGAGGTTATCATATCCATTTACAACCTTGTACGTGGTTAGCATGTCCCTTCACAACCTTGTACGAGGTTATCATGTCCCTTCACAACCTTGTACGTGGCTATCATGTCCCTTCACAACCTTGTACGTGGCTATCATGTCCCTTCACAACCTTGTACGTGGCTATCATGTCCCTTCACAACCTTGTACGTGGCTATCATGTCCCTTCACAACCTTGTACGTGGCTATCATGTCCCTTCACAACCTTGTACGTGGCTATCATGTCCCTTCACAACCTTGTACGTGGCTATCATGTCCCTCCACAACCTTGTACGTGGCTATCATGTCCCTTCACAACCTTGTACGTGGCTATCATGTCCCTCCACAACCTTGTACGTGGCTATCATGTCCCTTCACAACCTTGTACGTGGCTATCATGTCCCTCCACAACCTTGTACGTGGCTATCATGTCCCTTCACAACCTTGTACGTGGCTATCATGTCCCTTCACAACCTTGTACGTGGCTATCATGTCCCTTCACAACCTTGTACGTGGCTATCATGTCCCTCCACAACCTTGTACGTGGCTATCATGTCCCTTCACAACCTTGTACGTGGCTATCATGTCCCTTCACAACCTTGTACGTGGCTATCATGTCCCTTCACAACCTTGTACGTGGCTATCATGTCCCTCCACAACCTTGTACGTGGCTATCATGTCCCTTCACAACCTTGTACGTGGATATCATGTCCCTTCACAACCTTGTACGTGGCTATCATGTCCCTCCACAACCTTGTACGTGGCTATCATGTCCCTTCACAACCTTGTACGTGGCTATCATGTCCCTCCACAACCTTGTACGTGGATATCATGTCCCTTCACAACCTTGTACGTGGCTATCATCTCCCTTCACAACCTTGTACGTGGCTATCATGTCCCTCCACAACCTTGTACGTGGCTATCATGTCCCTCCACAACCTTGTACGTGGCTATCATGTCCCTTCACAACCTTGTACGTGGCTATCATGTCCCTCCACAACCTTGTACGTGGATATCGTGTCTCGCCTTTTCCTCCTTCTATTGTGGTCAACTACTCTTTTAAACCTGATGGGGATGATATGTTGAGATGTAGGCACATTAATTTTCACTTCAACTCTGCTCTCTCTCCCACAGCCTGAAATGACGGAGGAACGCAAGGCTGTGGTGGCGGAGGCTTACAGTGTCCTGGATGAGTCTGGAGACGGAGTGGTTACCTTGGAGGATCTTAAAGACAAATACGATGCCTCGGGACATCCTAGCGTCCTGGCTGGAGAAGCTACCGAGGATGATATCCTTCTTAAGTTTCTGGGAAGGTTTGAGGGTAACACCAAGGAAGATGGAAAGGTGAAGTGTGCTAAGAACAGAGAGAGAGAGAGAGAGAGAGAGAGAGAGAGAGAGAGAGAGAGAGAGAGAGAGAGAGAGAGAGAGAGAGAGAGAGAGAGAGAGAGAGAGAGAGAGAGAGAGAGAGAGAGAGAGAGAGAGAGAAACAGACAGACAGAGGGAGGGAGATACAAACAGACAGAAGACAGACAGAAGAAAGACTGAAGACAGACAGACAGACAGAAGACAGACAGACAGAGAGTCTAAGCACTTAACACCCACTCCGCTAGCACCTCCTAGTTCACTACATTTGCGTGAGTCTTAAAGCTATTTATGGATCCTACCTCGACATTTTCGCTGACTAGGTCATTCCTTTTCTTGACTACTCTAAAACTAAAGAAATATTTCCTAAAATCTTTTTGAATCATCTGTGTTTTCAATTATCAACTGTTTCGCCGAGTGTCTCACACCCGCCTTGTGAAAAGACTCGCCCTGACTACCATGTCAGTTCCTCTCAGTATTTTGTACGTCATAATCATATCACTTCTAGGCCTTCTGTCCTCTGGTAATGTTGGGTTTAGCTCCTCACACCCTTCACCTCTGTAACTAAATTCGATGCAAAGGCGTCCCACTGCGGTATGAAGGAGTATCTGAGATCTTTCTCCCTCTCCCTTTGTCTCTCTCAACTCTCCTGTCCCAGGAAGGATATACGTACGTGTTCACTACGTACGTGTAGTATTCCTGTTCATTTTCCGTACTGTTCCTGAATTGGCATTGTTCTTGATTTTACTGAAAATACCTCCTTGCAAATACTGCTCTGTGTGTGTGTGTGTGTGTGTGTGTGTGTGTGTGTGTGTGTGTGTGTGTGTGTGTGTGTGTATACTCACCTAATTGTACTCACCTAATTGTGGCTGCAGGGGTCGAGACTCAGCTCCTGGCCCCGCCTCTTCACTGATCTCCACTAGGTCCTCTCCCTCTCTGCTTCCTGAGCTTTGTCATACCTCTTCTTAAAACTATGTATGGTTCCTGCCTCCACTACTTCACTTGCTAGGCTATTCCACTTGCTGACAACTCTATGACTGAAGAAATACTTCCTAACGTCCCTGTGACTCGTCTGAGTCTTCAGCTTCCAGTTGTGACCCCTTGTTTCTGTGTCCCCTCTCTGGAACATCCTATCTCTGTCCACCTTGTCTATTCCCCGCAGTATCTTGTATGTCGTTATCATGTCTCCCCTGACTTTTCTGTCCTCCAGTGTCGTCAGTCCGATTTCCCTCAACCTTTCCTCGTACGACATTCCCTTGAGCTCTGGGACTAGCCTTGTTGCAAACCTTTGTACTTTCTCTAACTTCTTGACGTGCTTGACCAGGTGTGGGTTCCAGACTGGTGCTGCATACTCCAATATGGGCCTAACATACACAGTGTACAGTGTCTTGAACGATTCCTTATTAAGGTATCGGAACGCTATTCTCAGGTTTGCCAAGCACCTGTATGCTGCAGCAGTTATTTGGTTGATGTGTGCCTCCGGTGACGTGCTCGGTGTTATGGTCTCCCCAAGGTCTTTCTCCCTGAGTGAGGTCTGTAGTCTTAGTCCACCTAGCCTATACTCTGTGGTCTTCTTTGCCCCTCCCCAATCTTCATGACTTTGCATTTGGCAGGATTGAATTCGAGAAGCCAGTTTCTGGACCACAAGTCCAGCCTGTCCAGGTCTCTTTGCAGTCCTGCCTCATCCTCATCCGATTTAATTCTTCTCATTAACTTCACATCATCTGCGAATAGGGACACTTCAGAGTCTATTCCTTCCGTCATGTCGTTCGCATATCAAAAATAGCACTGGTCCTAGAACTGACCCCTGTGGGACCCCGCTCGTCACAGGCGCCCACTGTGATACCTCTTCACGTACCATGACTTGTTGCTGCCTCCCTGTCAGGTATTCCCTGATCCATTGCAGTGCCCTCCCTGTTATATGCACCTGATCCTCCAGCTTCTTCACTAATCTCTTGTGGGGAACTGTGTCAAAGACCTTCCTGCAGTCTAGGAAAACGCAATAAACCCACCCCTCTCTCTCGTGTCTTACTTCTGTTACCTTGTCATAAAACTCCAGGAGGTTTGTGACACAGGATTTGCCTTCCATGAACCCATGCTGGTTTTCATTTATAATCTTGTTCAGTTCCAGGTGTTCCACCACTCTCCTCCTGATAATCTTCTCCATGACTTTGCACACAATACATGTCAGAGACACAGGTCTGTAGTTTAGTGCCTCGTTTCTGTTTCCTTTCTTATATATGGGGACTACATTTGCTGTCTTCCATTTCTCAGGTAGTTGCCCAGTTTCAAGGGATGTGTTGAAGATTGTGGTTAGGGACACGCACAGCATCTCTGCTCCTTCTCTTAGGATCCATGGGGAGATGTTTTCTGGTCCCATCGCCTTTGAGGTATCAAGGTCACTTAGCAGCTTCTGCACCTCCTCCTCAGTTGTTCGTATGTCCTCCAACACTTGTTGGTATATTCCCTCTTGATGTTCCCTTCTGTGCTGTCTTCCCACAGCCCTTCCTGTCTCTACTATGAAAACTTCCTTAAATCTCCTGTTCAGCTCCTCACATACCTCCTGATCATTTCTTGTGAGTTCTCCACCTTCTGTCCTAAGTCTGATCACCTGGTCTTTGACTGTTGTCTTCCTCCTGATGTGGCTATACAACAGTTTCGGGTCAGTCTTGATTTTTCGATGCTATGTCATTTTCATACTGTCGCTGGGCCTCCCTCATTACCTGTGCCTACTCGTTCCTGACTCTGCGATTGATCTCCCTATTTTCGTGTGCTCTCTGCCTTTTGTACTTTTTCCATTCTCTATTGCACTTTGCTTTTGCCTCCTTACACCGTCGGGTAAACCAGGGGCTCGTTCTGGTCTTCCCATTGTTTCTGTTGCCCATGGGAATAAACCTTTCCACTGCCTCCTTGCATTTTGTTGTTACATATTCCATCATTTCGTTTACTGGCTTTCCTGCCAGTTCTCTGTCCCACTGGACCTCCCGCAGGAAGTTCTTCAACCCTATGTAGTCCCCTCTTTTATAGTCAGGCTTTTCCCATTCATCTCCTGTTATTCTCTCCACTTGCAGCTCTACTATGTATTCAAAGCACAGAACCACGTGGTCGCTAGCTCCTAGGGGACTCTCATACTTGATGTCCTCAATGTCTGAGCTGCCCAGGGTGAACACAAGGTCCAATCTTGCTGGTTCATCCTCCCCTCTCACTTTGGTAGTGTCCTTAACATGTTGGTGCATGAGGTTTTCCAGCACCACCAACATCCTGGCTCTCCATGTTTCGGGACCCCCATGTGGCTCCAGGTTTTCCCAGTCAATCTCCCTGTGGTTGAAATCCCCCATAACCAGCAACTTTGCTCTGCTGGAGTGAGCTCTTCTTGCCACCTCAGCAAGTGTGTCCACCATTGCTCTGTTGCTCTCTTCATATTCCTCTCTTGGCCTCCTGCACTTCTGTGGTGGATTATACATCACTGCAATGACCACTTTGTGTTCCCCAGACTGAAGTGTACCTACTATGTGTGTTTGTGTATGTTTGTGTGTGTGTGTGTGTTTGTGTGTGTTTTGTGTGTTTGCGTGTGTTTGCGTGTTTTAAACTACATGTGTTTAGCTCTTCTTTACTCTATTGCAGTATTTTATTATCACTGTGTTTCTCCCCATCCCAAAAAATTGTCCGGAAGGGTGATAAAGCATCCTTAGGAATGGCAGGAAATCAGGTATAATGGAAGAGGAGAGAATCTCCAATTGATAAATAACCAAGAACCCTTCAAAAACTTCAAGGCAACCCATTAGAAACAGTAAAAATGGCTCTTGGAGGTAATGAAAATAATGGCTGACTAATTACTTATCCTCTCATTATTATTATTATTAATAATAGTAATAGTTGTATCAATAGTTTGGATGTCTCATAAATCCATAACGTATTTCTTCTTTGCAGCTGACCAAAGAGGAGTTTATGGATTACTACTCCGGGATCAGCAAATCTATAGATGATGACGACTACTTTGTCGAGGTCGTCAAGAAAGCTTGGAAACTATAGACTACCAGTATTATTATTCTGAGGTGTTGGGCAGCCGGGACTGAATATTCAGAAGATTACACTAGCATGGGTCCATGGATATGGGGACCAAGTTCCTGGACCTGTTGTGTTATTGTAAGCTTTTGACTACTGCCCATAGGGTGGGTGTGTGTATGGTGACTACCACCCATGCCATAGGTATGGATGATTATCTCCAACACCATCTTTAAGAGGTACATAATAAGCTTCACAAACTGAACGTATTACTGGCCCTTTAACTAATCGGTCAGTCCACGACAAGTGGCTTCGTGTGTATGCTGAGGTCTGTTCCACCATATTCACGGAGATCCTGAACCATATCAGTAACAGGTTTCTAATTCGTGGCATTAGTGGGGTTTCTAATTAGCAGCATTAGTAAGGTTACTTGTTCATGTTATTAGGTGGGTTAATAATTTGCATAATTAGCAAGGTTCATAATTCATATAATTAAGAGGGTTCCTAATTCATGGAATTAGCGGAGTTGCTAGTTCGTGGTACTAGTGGAGTTAAGTTATGGAAACGGCGGGGTTCCTAATTTATAGAATTAATTGGACTCCTTATTCATAGCATTAGCAAGGTTCCTATTAAGTGGAATCAGCGAGGTTCCTAATTCAGAGTTCTATTGCCAATTCTTCACTAATGGGTAACCCACGAGTAAATGTAAATTCATGGATGTGTCAGAAAGAGAAAATTGCCGTCCCAAGAAGTCTCAGACTGGCACAGATATTCTGTAAAGTAACATTTCAATACTTCCATAGTGAAAGCAGATATTTTCGGTAAGTGTTGAGCCCATAAGCACGATACAACACCTGTTATATAGACAGGTTTTGTATCATTCGTAAGACCTCGTGAATTTATGGTGACCTATTGCATTATATTCACTGGAGAAATAAATCTGTCAGTGGGATGGGAGTAAATCAGATTAAGTCCAAGTGAAAAGAAACTCCATTATTTTGGATCAAGAGCCCCTTACCAGGCCTTGATCCACTGTCTCCATGAGGGAACTGTGAAAAATAGTCTTCAGAGTTAGAGTAGTAATTAATATTGGAGAACAAGTGCCACTGAGGAAAATACATTACCTTATATCAGAGAGAAAACTAACAACGACCTCTTGGAAAGTTCCCTCAAGTTGTCAATACAAAATTTATTATTTAACTGATGATAAAACAGATAAAGAACAGCATCGTTGTGAAATTCTTCTTTGATTCAAGCATAAATGTCTGTGTGTCACGCGCTTCTTGCTAAACCCACGACATACTGAGACACACTGTTCACAGTACGGGACATACAGTGCCTTCTCAAAGGTCAGCAATAAAAAGTGTTTCTTATTTCAAAGATACACGGAGGATGAGGAACGCAGGAACTGGCTCGGTAAGCTTGGGTATGACATGACTTAAACAACTCAACGAGCAAGAAAGAAGTGTCAGTGAGATCGGAAGTGTCTTCGGCGAGTTTGAGTTTGAAGTTGGGAACGTAATTTTTTACATTACAAAATATGATTCAAGTTTCCAATGATTATCATGAACGAATCTTTCTGGTACACTAGACGCAACTCTGGGTTCGCTAGTTATCAAAAGAAATTTAAATAGGAATATGAGGCCTTATCGATTTTGAGAAACAATGGGTAATAAATTTTTAGGACGTTCGAAATCTTGAGTCGGGATAACTAGAGGCTGTTGGAGGTAGAGTTAATGACTAGTGGCTGCTGAAGACAGAGGTAATGACTACTGGCTGCTGAAGACAGAGGTTATGATTAGTGTTTCCTGAAGACAGAGGTTATGATTAGTGTTTCCTGAAGACAGAGGTAATGACTACTGGCTGCTGAAGACAGAGGTAATGACTAGTGGCTGCTGAAGACAGAGGTAATGACTAGTGGCTGCTGAAGACAGAGGTAATGACTACTGGCTGCTGAAGACAGAGGTTATGATTAGTGTTTCCTGAAGACAGAGGTTATGATTAGTGTTTCCTGAAGACAGAGGTAATGACTACTGGCTCCTGAAGACAGAGGTTATGACTAGTGGCTGCTGAAGACAGAGGTAATGACTACTGGCTCCTGAAGACAGAGGTTATGATTAGTGTTTCCTGAAGACAGAGGTAATGACTACTGGCTGCTGAAGACAGAGGTTATGATTAGTGTTTCCTGAAGACAGAGGTAATGACTACTGGCTCCTGAAGACAGAGGTTATGACTAGTGGCTGCTGAAGACAGAGGTAATGACTACTGGCTCCTGAAGACAGAGGTTATGATTAGTGTTTCCTGAAGACAGAGGTAATGACTACTGGCTGCTGAAGACAGAGGTTATGATTAGTGTTTCCTGAAGACAGAGGTAATGACTACTGGCTCCTGAAGACAGAGGTTATGACTAGTGGCTGCTGAAGACAGAGGTAATGACTACTGGCTGTTGAAGACAGAGGTAATGACTGCTGGCTGCTGAAGACAGAGGTTATGATTAGTGTTTCCTGAAGACAGAGGTAATGACTACTGGCTGCTGAAGACAGAGGTAATGACTACTGGCTGCTGAAGACAGAGGTAATGACTACTGGCTGCTGAAGACAGAGGTTATGATTAGTGTTTCCTGAAGACAGAGGTTATGATTAGTGTTTCCTGAAGACAGAGGTAATGACTACTGGCTCCTGAAGACAGAGGTTATGACTAGTGGCTGCTGAAGACAGAGGTAATGACTACTGGCTCCTGAAGACAGAGGTTATGATTAGTGTTTCCTGAAGACAGAGGTAATGACTACTGGCTGCTGAAGACAGAGGTTATGATTAGTGTTTCCTGAAGACAGAGGTAATGACTACTGGCTCCTGAAGACAGAGGTTATGACTAGTGGCTGCTGAAGACAGAGGTAATGACTACTGGCTCCTGAAGACAGAGGTTATGATTAGTGTTTCCTGAAGACAGAGGTAATGACTACTGGCTGCTGAAGACAGAGGTTATGATTAGTGTTTCCTGAAGACAGAGGTAATGACTACTGGCTCCTGAAGACAGAGGTTATGACTAGTGGCTGCTGAAGACAGAGGTAATGACTACTGGCTGTTGAAGACAGAGGTAATGACTGCTGGCTGCTGAAGACAGAGGTTATGATTAGTGTTTCCTGAAGACAGAGGTAATGACTACTGGCTGCTGAAGACAGAGGTAATGACTACTGGCTGCTGAAGACAGAGGTAATGACTAGTGGCTGCTGAAGACAGAGGTTATGACTAGTGTTTCCTGAAGACAGAGGTAATGACTACTGGCTGCTGAAGACAGAGGTAATGACTACTGGCTGTTGAAGACAGAGGTAATGACTGTTGGCTGCTGAAGACAGAGGTTATGATTAGTGTTTCCTGAAGACAGAGGTAATGACTACTGGCTGCTGAAGACAGAGGTAATGACTACTGGCTGCTGAAGACAGAGGTAATGACTAGTGGCTGCTGAAGACAGAGGTTATGACTAGTGTTTCCTGAAGACAGAGGTAATGACTACTGGCTGCTGAAGACAGAGGTAATGACTGTTGGCTGCTGAAGACAGAGGTTATGACTAGTGTTTCCTGAAGACAGAGGTAATGATTGCTGGCTGCTGAAGACAGAGGTTATGACTAGTGTTTCCTGAAGACAGAGGTTATGACTAATGTTTCCTGAAGACAGAGGTAATGACTACTGGCTGCTGAAGACAGAGGTTATGACTACTGGCTGCTGAAGACAGAGGTTATGACTAGTGTCTCCTGAAGACAGAGGTAATGACTGCTGGCTGCTGAAGACAGAGGTTATGACTAGTGTTTCCTAAAGACAGGTAATGACTACTGGCTGCTGAAGACAGAGGTAATGACTGCTGGCTGCTGAAGACAGAGGTAATGACTGCTGGCTGCTGAAGACAGAGGTAATGACTACTGGCTGCTGAAGACAGAGGTTATGACTAGTGTTTCCTGAAGACAGAGGTAATGACTACTTGCTGCTGAAGACAGAGGTTATGACTACTGGCTGCTGAAGACAGAGGTTATGACTAGTGTTTCTTGAAGACAGAGGTAATGACTGCAGGCTGCTGAAGACAGAGGTTATGACTACTGGGTGCTGAAGACAGAGGTAATGACTGCTGGCTGCTGAAGACAGAGGTTATGACTACTGGCTGCTGAAGACAGAGGTAATGACTGCTGGCTGCTGAAGACAGAGGTTATGACTACTGGCTGCTGAAGACATAGGTAATGACTACTGGCTGCTGAAGACAGAGGTTATGAGTACTGGCTGCTGAAGACAGAGGTTATGACTAGTGTTTCCTGAAGACAGAGGTAATGACTGCTGGCTGCTGAAGACAGAGGTAATGACTAGTGTCTCCTGAAGACCGAGGTAATGACTAGTGGTTGCTGAAGACAGAGGTTATGACTAGTGTTTCCTGAAGACAGAGGTAATGACTACTGGCTGCTGAAGACAGAAGTAATGACTGCTGGCTGCTGAAGACAGAGGTAATGACTGCTGGCTTCTGAAGACAGAGGTAATGACTACTGGCTGCTGAAGACAGAGGTAATGACTACTGGCTGCTGAAGACAGAGGATATGACTAGTGTTTCCTGAAGACAGAGGTAATGACTGCTGGCTGCTGAAGACAGAGGTTATGACTAGTGTTTCCTGAAGACAGAGGTAATGACTACTGGCTGCTGAAGAAAGAGGTAATGACTGCTGGCTGCTGAAGACAGAGGTAATGACTAGTGGCTGCTGAAGACAGAGGTAATGACTAGTGGCTGCTGAAGATAAAGGTCATGACTAGTGTCTCCTGAAGACAGAGCAACATTAGTTACCTGAGAAAGAAATATGAATAAAGAAGGTAGACTTAAGCATCCACTTAGCCAACGCAGGTACACCAATCTCAGCTAAGTAGCAAATCAACGCACACGTGGCCACATTATCAGCACATATTAAAGCACCTTGGCGCACGCAATTATTCAACTCGATGCAAACATGTTTAGCAAACACCGACGGTATTACAGTATGCTTCTCTACTGAAGAATTAAGAGGCACGTAACTTTCCCTCTGTCTTCTAATAACGAACTTATTTCTCCACTATAATCTGTCTTGTCTATAATTACTATTGCATTTGCTTTGTTATATACAGTGAAATCCAGGATCTTTCCTTAATTCATGGTATAACTCAACAAATCTTTGATGACATCTCTGTTGAAGGTGATGTGAGAGGTGAGGTGTGAGTGGAGAGGTTTGACCAGAGCTCACATGTCTGTTGGAGGTGATGTGAGAGGTGAGGTGTGAGTGGAGAGGTTTGACCAAAGCTCACATCTCTGTAGGAGGTGATGTGAGAGGTGAGGTGTGAGTGGAGAGGTTTGACCAGAGCTCACATCTCTCCAACACAACTGCCCTCAAAGATTTCTTGTTATACCATGAATTAACGACAGATCCTAGATTTCACCTTACGATACAAAACAAATACGGTACTAATTATGGGCAAGGTAGATTATAGCGGTAAAATTAAGATGATGTTGAAACAGAGAAGAACTTACGTGTTTCTTAACATTTCTGGGACTCCAACTCATTTGAAGAGAAAACAATAAATTTTGTGAGAGGAATAATATATATATATATATATATATGGAAATTATTCGCTACGAGGATGAGCACCATCGCCGGAAGGCCATAATCAGAATATTTACATAAAAGCGCTAAACCAGTAAGGGTTGTACATCATCTGGGGAATGGCAGGTAACCAGGTTTGATCCGAGGAATGGAAGGGTAGGTCCATTTTTTTTTTATCGTGATTCAAGTTATTCATGTATAAGGTGCCAAGCCAGTGTTGGCCACAGTATGAGGAATGATGGAGGCTCGAGACTCCGTCTACTAACCACAGGAGAGACATGCCCCTCACCAGCATCAAAGCACCTTGGATCAAGAGCCTCTCACCCCCCCCCCCCTTTCCTTAAAGAGTCGAAATTTTAAAACTGAACATATAAACCTCACAAAAACGTTTCCTTGATTGACGTTTGATCCAAGGAATCGAACTTATCCTCTCTGTCCCTATGTACCGTACGACCCTACCGGTTTAGCGCTTCCTCGTGAATATAATAACAATCAACACAGAATCAGAATGTAACTCTTTCAATGAATTTCAATATTTTATCAATCAGCTCTAAACCCTCACGGGCAATGCGGATCAATGCTTGTATATTGAATGTTAATCTTTGTCATTACAGAGGATAAAAATGTTCTTTAAGTTATTAGTTTTATTAAACCTCGGTGTCGAGCCTTCCCGAAATATTCTGCTTAACCAAAGGGGCGGAAGGGTAAGCCAGTGGAAGGCTTCGGTCAGGTGACCAAAAGCTCCAGGGGCGGGCCAGCATCTCAGACCGCCTCAGGAAACTGACGAACCTAACCTAAGATGATAATAACCAGAGACTTTTGTTATTAACTCTGTGTTTCTCACCTGATCAGCACTATATGACCCTTGTGGGTTTAGTGCTCATTTATGATGATAATAATAATAATCACCTTATCTTATAATAATTATTTACTGCATTTTCTGCAATTAATTTTCTTTTTCCAATTACTAATTATTATTATTATAATTATTATTATTATTATTATTATTATTATGATTATTATTATTATGATTATTATTATGATTATTATGATTATTATTATTATTATTATTATTATTATTATTACAATTATTATAATTATTATAGGAGATACTGTGGCCTGGTAGGAGATTCTTCACAAAGGTCCCGTCAAGGGAGACACTTTGATGCTGGTGAGGGGCTCTTGATCTAGGGAATTGGATCTGTGCTCCAGTTCTCTGAATTAAGCCTGAATACCATCCATCCCCAACCCCCTACAGGCGCTGTATAATCCTCCGGGTTTAGCGCTTCCCCTTGATGATAATTCACAGAGGTAACTCCATACATAATCTTCAATTATCACCCCAAATCCACTGAAATTTTAAACTGTGATTATTGGTGTTTATAACCAACAATTAGAGTTGTTTGTAAGATGAACCACTTAACAAAGGCAAGTGGCACCTCTTAAGTGGCTAAGTGAATAAAGTGTTGAAGTCTAAGTGAGATTAAAGTTGATTTTGAAGTAATAATGAGCTAATTATGCAATGAATTACCAGTCTGCTTATTATTGACCAGTTTGGTCATCAAGTGGTATTCTCAGGGGCTCTTGATCCCTCAAGGTAGGTTCCTTGATGTTGGTGAGGGGCTCTTGATTTAGGGAATTGGATCTGTGCTCCAGTTCCCCGAATTAAGTCTGAATGCCTTCCACACCCCCCCCCAGGCGCTGTATAATCCTCCGGGTTTAGCGCTTCCCCCTTGATTATAATAATAATCAGGGGCTCTTGATCTAGGGAATTGGATCTGTGCTCCAGTTCCCCGAATTAAGCCTGAATGCCTTCCACCCCCCCCCCCCCAGGCGCTGTATAATCCTCCGGATTTAGCGCTTCCCCTTGATTATAATAATCTAACACCTGTAACACCTGCTGTAACACCTGCTGTAACATCTGCTGTAACACCTGCTGTAACACCTGCTGTAACACCTGCTGTAACATCTGCTGTAACACCTGCTGTAACATCTGCTGTAACACCTGCTGTAACATCTGCTGTAACACCTGCTGTAACACCTGCTGTAACACCTGCTGTAACACCTGCTGTAACACCTGCTGTAACACCTGCTGTAACACCTGCTGTAACACCTGCTGTAACATCTGCTGTAACACCTGCTGCAACACCTGCTGTAACATCTGCTGTAACACCTGCTGTAACACCTGCTGTAACACCTGCTGTAACACCTGCTGCAACACCTGCTGTAACACCTGCTGTAACATCTGCTGCAACATCTGCTGTAACACCTGCTGTAACACCTGCTGCAACACCTGCTGTAACACCTGCTGTAACACCTGCTGTAACATCTGCTGTAACACCTGCTGTAACACCTGCTGTAACATCTGCTGTAACACCTGCTGTAACACCTGCTGTAACATATGCTGCAACACCTGCTGTAACACCTGCTGTAACATCTGTAACACCTGCTGTAACACCTGCTGCAACACCTGCTGTAACACCTGCTGTAACACCTGCTGTAACACCTGCTGTAACACCTGCTGTAACACCTGCTGTAACACCTGCTGTAGCACCTGCTGTAACACCTGCTGCAACACCTGCTGCAACACCTGCTGCAACACCTGCTGCAACACCTGCTGCAACACCTGCTGCAACACCTGCTGCAACACCTGCTGTAACACCTGCTGTAATACCTGCTGTAACACCTGCTGTAACACCTGCTGCAACACCTGCTGCAACACCTGCTGCAACACCTGCTGCAACACCTGCTGCAACACCTGCTGCAACACCTGCTGTAACACCTGCTGTAACACCTGCTGTAACACCTGTAACACCTGCTGTAACACCTGCTGTAAAACCTGCTGTAACACCTGCTGTAACACCTGCTGTACAACCTGCTGTAACACCTGCTGTAACACCTGCTGTAACACCTGCTGTAACACCTGCTGCAACACCTGCTGCAACACCTGCTGCAACACCTGCTGCAACACCTGCTGCAACACCTGCTGCAACACCTGCTGCAACACCTGCTGCAACACCTGCTGTAACACCTGCTGTAACACCTGCTGCAACACCTGCTGCAACACCTGCTGTAACACCTGCTGTAACATCTGCAGTAACACCTGCTGTAACACCTGCTGTAACACCTGCTGTAACACCTGCTGTACAACCTGCTGTAACTCCTGCTGTAACACCTGCTGTAACATCTGCTGTAACACCTGCTGCAACACCTGCTGCAACACCTGCTGCAACACCTGCTGCAGCACCTGCTGCAACACCTGCTGCAACACCTGCTGCAACACCTGCTGCAACACCTGCTGCAACACCTGCTGCAACACCTGCTGGCACACCTGCTGTAACACCTGCTGTAACACCTGCTGTAACACCTGCTGTAACATCTGCTGTAACACCTGCAGTAACACCTGCTGTAACACCTGCTGTAACACCTGCTGTAACACCTGCTGCAACACCTGCTGTAACACCTGCTGTAACACCTGCTGCAACACCTGCTGCAACACCTGCTGCAACACCTGCTGCAACACCTGCTGCAACACCTGCTGCAACACCTGCTGCAACACCTGCTGTAACACCTGCTGCAACACCTGCTGCAACACCTGCTGTAACACCTGCTGCAACACCTGCTGCAACACCTGCTGCAACACCTGCAACACCTGCTGCAACACCTGCTGCAACACCTGCTGTAACACCTGCTGTAACACCTGCTGTAACACCTGCTGCAACACCTGCTCCCAGCAGGTGTGTAGAGAATTATTTTACCCCAATTTTAGGGATTAAAGTTTTTTGACTAGCGATGAAGAAGTGACATACATGTCACTTGTAAAGTGACATGCAACACTTCATGTGCAGTAATGTCTAAGTTTGTAGATGGATGGTTCAGAGAACCGACATGTTGATAAATTAGACACATGTGCAACACTTGGGTATCTTAAATGAGGAAACGTTTCGCCACACAGTGGCTTCATCAGTCCATACAAAGGAGAATCTTGAAGAACAGGAGGAGAATGAGGTAATCAGTCCCTCAACCTTGAGTCGATGTGTTCATCTTTCCAAGACTGACTGATCACATCGACTCAAGGCTGAGGGACTGAGTACCTCACACTCCTCCTGTTCATCATTCTCCTATGTATGGACTGATGAAGCCACTGCATGGCGAAAAGTTTCCTCAATAAAGATACCCAAGAGTTGCACATGTGTCTAATTTATCAAGGTTTCGCCAGCTTGTTGCTTTAAGGGGCAATACATGGACATACACGGAACACTGTCTACTGGAATTTTGAGGGTCGTACTGAGCCACGTGAAGAGGAATTTTGAGGGTCGTACTGAGCCACGTGAAGAGGAATTTTGAGGGTCGTACTGAGCCACGTGAAGAGGAATTTTGAGGGTCGTACTGAGCCACGTGAAGAGGAATTTTGAGGGTCGTATTGAGCCACGTGAAGAGGAATTTTGAGGGTCGTACTGAGCCACGTGAAGAGGAATTTTGAGGGTCGTACTGAGCCACGTGAAGAGGAATTTTGAGGGTCGTACTGAGCCACGTGAAGAGGAATTTTGAGGGTCGTACTGAGCCACGTGAAGAGGAATTTTGAGGGGCGTACTGAGCCACGTGAAGAGGAATTTTGAGGGTCGTACTGAGCCACGTGAAGAGGAATTTTGGGGGTCGTACTGAGCCACGTGAAGAGGAATTTTGAGGGTCGTACTGAGCCACGTGAAGAGGAATTTTGAGGGTCGTACTGAGCCACGTGAAGAGGAATTTTGAGGGTCGTACTGAGCCACGTGAAGAGGAATTTTGAGGGTCGTACTGAGCCACGTGAAGAGGAATTTTGAGGGTCGTACTGAGCCACGTGAAGAGGAATTTTGAGGGTCGTACTGAGCCACGTGAAGAGGAATTTTGAGGGTCGTACTGAGCCACGTGAAGAGGAATTTTGAGGGTCGTACTGAGCCACGTGAAGAGGAATTTTGAGGGTCGTACTGAGTCACGTGAAGAGGAATTTTGAGGGTCGTACTGAGCCACGTGAAGAGGAATTTTGAGGGTCGTACTGAGCCACGTGAAGAGGAATTTTGAGGGTCGTACTGAGCCACGTGAAGAGGAATTTTGAGGGTCGTACTGAGCCACGTGAAGAGGAATTTTGAGGGTCGTACTGAGCCACGTGAAGAGGAATTTTAGGGTCGTACTGAGCCACGTGAAGAGGAATTTTGGGCGTACTGAGCCACGTGAAGAGGAATTTTGAGGGTCGTACTGAGCCACGTGAAGAGGAATTTTGAGGGTCGTACTGAGCCACGTGAAGAGGAATTTTGAGGGTCGTACTGAGCCACGTGAAGAGGAATTTTGAGGGTCGTACTGAGCCACGTGAAGAGGAATTTTGAGGGTCGTACTGAGCCACGTGAAGAGGAATTTTGAGGGTCGTACTGAGCCACGTGAAGAGAATTTTGAGGGTCGTACTGAGCCACGTGAAGAGGAATTTTGAGGGTCGTACTGAGCCACGTGAAGAGGAATTTTGAGGGTCGTACTGAGTCACGTGAAGAGGAATTTTGAGGGTCGTACTGAGCCACGTGAAGAGGAATTTTGAGGGTCGTACTGAGCCACGTGAAGAGGAATTTTGGGGGTCGTACTGA